AGGACAAACATTGTAATGACAGAAAACAAGTTCCTCCAGGACAAACACAGTAATGTAGACAGAAATCAAGTTCCTCCAGGACAAACACTGGTGAAGTGACAGAAATCAAGTTCCTCCAGGACAAACACTGTAGTGACAGAAATCTAGTTCCTCCAGGACAAACATAGTAATGTAGACAGAAATCTAGTTCCTCCAGGACAAACATAGTAATGTAGACAGAAATCTAGTTCCTCCAGGACAAACATAGTAATGTAGACAGAAATCAAGTTCCTCCAGGACAAACATAGTAATGTAGACAGAAATCTAGTTCCTCCAGGACAAACACTGTAGTGACAGAAATCAAGTTCCTCCAGGACAAACACTGTAGTGACAGAAATCTAGTTCCTCCAGGACAAACATAGTAATGTAGACAGAAATCTAGTTCCTCCAGGACAAACACTGTAGTGACAGAAATCTAGTTCCTCCAGGACAAACATAGTAATGTAGACAGAAATCTAGTTCCTCCAGGACAAACACAGTAATGTAGACAGAAATCTAGTTCCTCCAGGACAAACACTGTAGTGACAGAAATCAAGTTCCTCCAGGACAAACACTGTAGTGACAGACATCTAGTTCCTCCAGGACAAACATAGTAATGTAGACAGAAATCTAGTTCCTCCAGGACAAACATAGTAATGTAGACAGAAATCTAGTTCCTCCAGGACAAACACTGTAGTGACAGAAATCAAGTTCCTCCAGGACAAACACTGTAGTGACAGAAATCTAGTTCCTCCAGGACAAACATAGTAATGTAGACAGAAATCTAGTTCCTCCAGGACAAACACTGTGATGGAGTGACAGAAATCAAGTTCCTCCAGGACAAACACTGTGATGGAGTGACAGAAATCAAGTTCCTCCAGGACAAACACTGTGAAGTAGTGACAGAAATCAAGTTCCTCCAGGACAAACACTGTGATGGAGTGACAGAAATCAAGTTCCTCCAGGACAAACACTGTGATGGAGTGACAGAAATCAAGTTCCTCCAGGACAAACACTGTGATGGAGTGACAGAAATCAAGTTCCTCCAGGACAAACACTGTGATGGAGTGACAGAAATCAAGTTCCTCCAGGACAAACACTGTGATGTAGTGACAGAAATCAAGTTCCTCCAGGACAAACACTGTGATGGAGTGACAGAAATCAAGTTCCTCCAGGACAAACACTGTGATGGAGTGACAGAAATCAAGTTCCTCCAGGACAAACACTGTAATGAGAGAAATCAAGTTCCTCCAGGACAAACACTGTGATGTAGTGACAGAAATCAAGTTCCTCCAGGACAAACACTGAGATGTAGTGACAGAAATCAAGTTCCTCCAGGACAAACATTGTGATGTAGTGACAGAAATCAAGTTCCTCCAGGACAAACACTGTGATGGAGTGACAGAAATCAAGTTCCACCAGGACAAACACTGTGATGTAGTGACAGAAATCAAGTTCCTCCAGGACAAACACTGTGATGTAGTGACAGAAATCAAGTTCCTCCAGGACAAACACTGTGATGGAGTGACAGAAATCAAGTTCCTCCAGGACAAACACTGTGTTGTAGTGACAGAAATCAAGTTCCTCCAGGACAAACACTGTGATGGAGTGACAGAAATCAAGTTCCTCCAGGACAAACACTGTGATGGAGTGACAGAAATCAACTTCCTCCAGGACAAACACTGTATTGACAGAAATCAAGTTCCTCCAGGACAAACACTGTGATGGAGTGACAGAAATCAAGTTCCTCCATGACAAACACTGTGATGGAGTGACAGAAATCAAGTTCCTCCCGGACAAACACTGTGATGGAGTGACAGAAATCAAGTTCCTCCAGGACAAACACTATAGTGACAGACATCAAGTTCCTCCAGAACAAAGACTGTGATGGGGTGACAGAAATCAAGTTCCCCTAGGACAACACTGTGGTATAGTGCCAGAAAAAAAGAATAGTTGGAACAATAACTTAGACTACAAATCATGCAAGTATAGGAACTGGAAGGGATAGTAAAGTGTAGAGATCGTCATCTAGGAATGTATTTTGGGTTCTTATTCTAGTGAATGTTATAAAAAAAACATGAGGTTTGGGCTACTTATTAGGTAATCCTAGATCTGTCAACATTTATACAACAAGTGACTTTTGGCCTGAAACAACTGAGAAGATAACAAATGCAAATACCATAAAAATGTAAGTCAAATAAAAACAAGTGGCCCACAGGCTTTAAGGGTCATCTGACTATAAAGGCATATATATGAAAGAGGCCAAACAGATCTAAAATAAATTGCTCAACTACACTACAGCTTACAAAGAAAACATTGGTTGGTTCATAAAGACATTTTCTGCAAACTTGAAATCATATTCTCCATTCATTCACTACACAAATGCCATTACTCCAGGTGTATTGCTTATTGAAAAAGCATGCTACAGGCACAATATCAAGACCCATGGCTTTTAAGTTCTTGAAAAGTTGCTTACGCATTTCAACACATTTGATTCCTGTGACCTTGATAGTAGGTCAAGGTGAACAAACTTGGAATCCCTTCATCCAAGCATGCTACAGGCCCAATATCAGTACCATAGACCGTTAGCTTATTGAGAAGAAGTTGTTTAAAATATTAACATACTTGTCCCCTGTGACCTTGAAAGCAAGTCAAAGTCATTTATATTAACAAAGGGTCTATTTCCAGTAATGTTAATTCTCCATAGGAGCCTGCCCCTGTATAATTTCTTATCTAGCTCAACTACTGTTTTTTTCTTTTCCGAAAAATAATTTTACACCTTTCCGACACCCAGATTTCATAATTCCAGTGAAAATGTATTTTTATAAAGTTGTCAATTTCAGCATCAAAGACATAAGTTCGTAAATAAAAGAAGGTTATCTCGAAATTGTAATTCGCAACATATTATCAATTTCTTTTGATAAATAATTCCAAAAAAAATATTCTCGGATGAAAATGCACTTGCAGAGACACAATTATGAAGAAAAATGCCATAAATTTGCAATTTTCTCCCGTTATATAGTTTTGGATGCAAATTTCCATCAGAAAATCGGATAGAGCTTTACTTGTTTCATATGTGTACCAAAAATCAGCTAATTCCATGTGGTGGAACGTTCTCATATCGCCGCCTGAATGTGGTCGTAAATTGAAAGAAAAGGGGAAATTAGTAACAACCTTGTCTGAAACCCTATTATATAGCTTATTATATATACAAACTTTTATATTGAATATCAGAGCGGATATTTTCATGACAGTTTTATGATGTGTAAAAAAAAAAAAAAAAATAAAGTACTGTTTCCACGTCTCGATCTTGATTACTTGAGAACCATTACGTGTGGAACGTATCAGATATCTCTGGCTCCTGGTTACATCGCTGAACATTTAAGTGATGACGGCCACTATGAGGTGTGGCTTTACCAGCACTCCCCAGACCTTCTCCGATGTCAAATACATTCTCGACACAAAAGCCAAACGAAATATAACGTTTGGATACGGTTCACCGTTTCACCCGATGTTGAGGCCCCAATAAAGGACTACTACTGCCAGTGCCCAGTTGGAGAGAGAACGATGGGAATGTGTGTGCACATCTCCAGTATCTTGTACTACCTTGGGTATTACAGGACGCTGGAAAACCCTCGACCATTACAACCACAGGTAAAGAAATTCCGACAAAACTTGAAATAGTTTTCCATGCGGCAACAGAGTGCCTATGTCGAAAGTATGTTTGGGGCTCAATATGAAAGATCCCCGTTACCATGTGACTAACCAAACTTATAAATATAGGTATTATACAATCGCCGGTAGCTATGAACAATCCCGTAAATGCGAAAACCAACCAAAATCATAAGGAACACATTTTGTTTGTTGTTCTGTCTATATGTCAGCCAATGTCTTCAACCACGGGGACTTGCGAAGTAGCCATCTTGGATTTTTTTATGAAAAAGTGTTTCTCTCACTTTTTTTCATATCTGTGTACATATTCTCAACATGCCGAGCAAGTACTCTTGTTTTTTTGTTAATTATCTAAAGAAAGTCGAAAACCGGCAATTCAACCATAGGCTCATTCAACCCAACATTTGAAAATGTTCCACCACTTATATTTTGATGATTTTTCCTCTCATCAATAGCATATTACATACTATTTAATAGGATAAAAATTGGTTTGCATCCAACGCCCATAAAAGGGTGTATTCTCTAAAAAAACACAGTTTTTGTGTCTAAAATGTTATCATCATAAATGGCATTTTTGAGATTGTTTCTTCCATAAAACAGCCAAATGGCGCGATGGAAACATGATATTTTGTCACAATCATGCCATGAATGTATTCTTTACGATGGCTATCATTTGATTAGATTTTCATTAATATTTTACATAACATGCACATTTTATCAACACTTAGACAGCTTCTGAAAGGTACAACTTTGAGGAGCCATAAAAAACAAACCAAGTGACCTAAATCTATATACTTTATAGATTTGTGACCACAACGGCATGGGCAATGCACCACCAACAGGAAATTTGAATCAGAGAAGGGGCTGTTTTGGAAACCGGCCCTTTGGTAGCCCGTCATCCGAGAATGCTACAGGCCTTATATCAACACCCTAGACCTTTTGATTATTGAGAAGAAATCATTTAAACATTTTAACATATTTAATCCCTTTGACCTTGAAAGTACGTCAAGATCATTCATATCAACAAATCTGGTAGCCCTAACTCCAAGCATGCTACAGGCCTAATATCAGCATCCTGGAGAATTTGGTTATTGAGTTGAGAAGAAGTTGTATAAACATTTAACTATTTGACCCCTGCGATCTTGAAAGCAGATCAAGGTCATTCATATCAACACACTTGATAGCCATTCATCCAGTCATACTAAAGGCCCAATATCACCACCCTGGACCATTTGGTTATTGAGAAGAAGTCATTAGAATGGAAAGTTTATGCACGGTGGACGACAGATGGCGGACGGCGATCCTTTGGGTCAGATGACCTAAGAACACAGATACATCATCAGGACATGCAGACAGTCACAAAAAGAAAATATTGTTTTATTACATAACAGATTTCATCATCTGTTTCAATGGCTACACTAGGGTAAACATAAGTTTGAAAATAACAACAGTTAATAGTGATATCAAGATATTATCAGAGTGAAGTGAGAATCTGGAAAACAATGACAGATAAAGGTACAAGTACTTACTGCTGTAGGGTAATTACCCGCCTGAGTCAGCTTATTAATGTGTCTTATCATTTCAGCCTAAAACAGACAACATCACAAAATGATAAATGATTAATATAAAATTGATGTAGAGTTACAGAATTGTGACATAAAGTTAATCTTTAAGTACTTACTTGCAGGACAGGCGTCAACTCACTGTAACAGGAAAGAGACTGATATAAGCATTAACTTGTAAGTGGTAGATAATTTATTATGATAAATAATTGTTACATCAGGTTGTAAGTGGTAGATAATGATAATTTATTATGATAAATGATTGTTACATCAGGTTGTAAGTGGTAGATAATTTATTATGATAAATGATTGTTACATCAGGTTGTAAGTAGTAGATAATAATAATTTATTATGATAAATGATTGTTACATCAGGTTGTAAGTGGTAGATAATTTATTATAAATGATTGTTACATCAGGTTGTAAGTGGTAGATAATTTATTATAAATGATTGTTACATCAGGTTGTAAGTGGTAGATAATTTATTATAAATGATTGTTACATCAGGTTGTAAGTGGTAGATAATTTATTATAAATGATTGTTACATCAGGTTGTAAGTGGTAGATAATTTATTATAAATGATTGTTACATCAGGTTGTAAGTGGTAGATAATGATAATTTATTATGATAAATAATTGTTACATCAGATTGTAAGTGGTAGATAATTTATTATAAATGATTGTTACATCAGATTGTAAGTGGTAGATAATTTATTATAAATGATTGTTACATCAGGTTGTAAGTGGTAGATATTTATTATAAATGATTGTTACATCAGGTTGTAAGTGGTAGATAATGTATTATGATAAATGATTGTTACATCAGGTTGTAAGTGGTAGATAATGATAATTTATTATGATAAATGATTGTTACATCAGATTGTAAGTGGTAGATAATTATAATTTATTATGATAAATAATTGTTACATCAGATTGTAAGTGGTAGATAATGATAATTTATTATGATAAATAATTGTTACATCAGATTGTAAGTGGTAGATAACTTATTATAAATGATTGTTACATCAGATTGTAAGTGGTAGATAATGATAATTTATTATGATAAATGATTGTTACATCAGGTTGTTAGTGGTAGATAATGATGATTTATTATGATAAATGATTGTTACATCAGATTGTAAGTGGTAGATAATGATAATTTATTATGATAAATAATTGTTACATCAGATTGTAAGTGGTAGATAATGATAATTTATTATGATAAATAATTGTTACATCAGATTGTAAGTGGTAGATAACTTATTATAAATGATTGTTACATCAGGTTGTAAGTGGTAGATAATGATAATTTATTATGATAAATGATTGTTACATCAGGTTGTAAGTGGTAGATAATTTATTATAAATGATTGTTACATCAGGTTGTAAGTGGTAGATAATTTATTATAAATGATTGTTACATCAGGTTGTAAGTGGTAGATAATGATAATTTATTATGATAAATGATTGTTACATCAGGTTGTAAGTGGTAGATAATTTATTATAAATGATTGTTACATCAGATTGTAAGTGGTAGATAATTTATTATGATAAATGATGGTTACATTAGATTGTAAGTAGTAGATAATAATAATTTATTATGATAAATGATTGTTAAATCAGCTTGTAAGTGGTAGATAATGATAATTTATTATGATAAATAATTGTTACATAAGGTTGTAAGTGGTAGATAATTATAATTTATTATCAGAAATGATTTTTACATCAGGTTGTAAGTGGTAGATAATGATAATTTATTATGATAAATGATTTTTACATCAGATTGTAAGTGGTAGATAATGATAATTTATTATGATAAATGATTGTTACATCAGATTGTAAGTGGTAGATAATTTATTATAAATGATTGTTACATCAGGTTGTAAGTGGTAGATAATTTATTATAAATGATTGTTACATCAGGTTGTAAGTGGTAGATAATGATAATTTATTATGATAAATAATTGTTACATCAGATTGTAAGTGGTAGATAATTTATGATAAATGATTGTTACATCAGGTTGTAAGTGGTAGATAATGATAATTTATTATGATAAATGATTGTTACATCAGATTGCAAGTGGTAGATAATTTATTATGATAAATGATTGTTACATCAGGTTGGAAGTGGTAGATAATTTATTATAAATGATTGTTACATCAGGTTGTAAGTGGTAGATAATGATGATTTATTATGATAAATGATTGTGACATCATGTTGTAAGTGGTAGATAATTTATTATAAATGATTGTTACATCAGGTTGAAAGTGGTAGATAATGATAATTTATTATGATAAATGATTGTTACATCAGATTGTAAGTGGTAGATAATTATAATTTATTATGATAAATAATTGTTACATAAGGTTGTAAGTGGTAGATAATAATAATTTATTATCATAAATGATTGTTACATCAGGTTGTAAGTGGTAGATAATGATAATTTATTATGATAAATGATTGTTACATCAGATTGCAAGTGGTAGATGATTATAATTTATTATGATAAATAATTGTTACATCAGGTTGTAAGTGGTAGATAATTTATTATGATAAATGATTGTTACATCAGGTTGGAAGTGGTAGATAATTTATTATAAATGATTGTTACATCAGGTTGTAAGTGGTAGATAATGATAATTTATTATGATAAATGATTGTTACATCAGATTTTAAGTGGTAGATAATTTATTATGATAAATAATTGTTACATCAGATTGTAAGTGGTAGATAATTTATGATAAATGATTGTTACATCAGGTTGTAAGTGGTAGATAATTTATTATGATAAATGATTGTTACATCAGGTTGTAAGTGGTAGATAATTTATTATGATAAATGATTGTTACATCAGGTTGTAAGTGGTAGATAATTTATTATAAATGATTGTTACATCAGGTTGTAAGTGGTAGATAATTTATTATAAATGATTGTTACATCAGATTGTAAGTGGTAGATAATTTATTATGATAAATGATTGTTACATCAGGTTGGAAGTGGTAGATAATTTATTATAAATGATTGTTACATCAGGTTGTAAGTGGTAGATAATGATAATTTATTATGATAAATGATTGTTACATCAGATTTTAAGTGGTAGATAATTTATTATGATAAATAATTGTTACATCAGATTGTAAGTGGTAGATAATTTATGATAAATGATTGTTACATCAGGTTGTAAGTGGTAGATAATTATAATTTATTATGATAAATGATTGTTACATCAGATTGTAAGTGGTAGATAATTTATTATGAATGATTGTTACATCAGGTTGTAAGTGGTAGATAATGATAATTTATTATGATAAATGATTGTTACATCAGGTTGTAAGTGGTAGATAATTTATTATGATAAATGATTGTTACATCAGGTTGTAAGTGGTAGATAATTTATTATGATAAATGATTGTTACATCAGATTGTAAGTGGTAGATAATTTATTATAAATGATTGTTACATCAGGTTGTAAGTGGTAGATAATTTATTATAAATGATTGTTACATCAGGTTGTAAGTGGTAGATAATGATAATTTATTATGATAAATAATTGTTACATCAGATTGTAAATGGTAGATAATTTATTATGATAAATGATTGTTACATCAGGTTGTAAGTGGTAGATAAATTATTATGATAAATGATTGTTACATCAGATTGTAAGTGGTAGATAATGATGATTTATTATGATAAATGATTGTTACATCAGGTTGTTAGTGGTAGATAATGATGATTTATTATGATAAATGATTGTTACATCAGGTTGTAAGTGGTAGATAATTTATCATAAATGATTGTTACATCAGGTTGTAAGTGGTAGATAATGATAATTTATTATGATAAATGATTGTTACATCAGATTGTAAAGTAGATAATGATAATTTATTATGATAAATGATTGTTACATCAGGTTGTAAGTGGTAGATAATGATGATTTATTATGATAAATGATTGTTACATCAGGTTGTAAGTGGTAGATAATTATAAGTTATTATGATAAATGATTGTTACATCAGATTGTAAGTGGTAGATAATGATGATTTATTATGATAAATGATTGTTACATAAGGTTGTAAGTGGTAGATAATGATAATTTATTATGATAAATAATTGTTACATCAGATTGTAAGTGGTAGATAATTTATTATGATAAATGATTGTTACATCAGGTTGTAAGTGGTAGATAATGATAATTTATTATGATAAATGATTGTTACATCAGGTTGTAAGTGGTAGATAATGATAATTTATTATAAATAATTGTTACATCAGGTTGTAAGTGGTAGATAATTATAATTTATTATGATAAATGATTGTTACATCAGGTTGTAAGTGGTAGATAATTTATTATAAATGATTGTTACATCAGGTTGTAAGTGTAGTATGATAATTTATTATGATAAATGATTGTTACATCAGTAAGTTGATAATTTATTATGATAAATGATTGTTACATAGGTTGTAAGTGGTAGATAAATTATTATGATAAATGATTGTTACATCAGGTTGGAAGTGGTAGATAATTTATTATAAATGATTGTTACATCAGGTTGTAAGTGGTAGATAATGATAATTTATTATGATAAATGATTGTTACATCAGATTGTAAGTGGTAGATATTTTATTATGATAAATGATTGTTACATCAGGTTGTAAGTGGTAGATAATGATAATTTATTATGATAAATGATTGTTACATCAGGTTGTAAGTGGTAGATAAATTATTATGATAAATGATTGTTACATCAGGTTGGAAGTGGTAGATAATTTATTGTAAATGATTGTTACATCAGGTTGTAAGTGGTAGATAATGATAATTTATTATGATAAATGATTGTTACATCAGATTGTAAGTGGTTGATATTTTATTATGATAAATGATTGTTACATCAGGTTGTAAGTGGTAGATAATGATAATTTATTATGATAAATAATTGTTACATCAGATTGTAAGTGGTAGATAATTTATTATAAATGATTGTTACATCAGGTTGTAAGTGGTAGATAATGATAATTTATTATGATAAATGATTGTTACATCAGATTGTAAGTGGTAGATAATTGATGATAAATAATTGTTACATCAGATTGTAAGTGGTATAACATAAAATATAATTTCACAATAAATAATTGAATGATAAATACTAAACAACACCAATGTATTATAATGAACATTTGATTTCTCACCTGTAGGGTCTGAAGGTCATCGATAAGGTTGTCTGTTTTCTTTGTTCCATTTTAATCTACAATTCAATGAACACCTCTGAATAAACAAGAGCTAATCCTAGCTGGTTGTTTGAATTTAATATGGAAAAATGTGTCAGATTTACATATAATTGTAAATCATTACTTCATTAATACTACTTAACCATATTCCACCATTTGATGACTATAAACAGGATGTGATCGAGGTAACTATACCACGGAGTAGAAAGTAAAGGCTGTTCAGAGTATGATCACAGTGTATAGATAAATGTAATATATTTCACAGCTACAACTAAATCACCACCACAGGTATACCTGACATGTATACAGATTTTTGGCCCTGTTCTATGACTTACCTTCACAGGTATACCTTACATGTATACAGATTTTTGGCCCTGTTCTATGACTAACCTTCACAGGTATACCTGACATGTATACAGATTTTTGGCCCTGTTCAATGACTAACCTTCACAGGTATACCTGACATGTATACAGATTTTTGGCCCTGTTCTATGACTTACCTTCACAAGTATACCTTACATGTATACAGATTTTTGGCCCTGTTCCATGACTAACCTTCACAGGTATACCTGACATGTATACAGATTTTTGGCCCTGTTCTATAACTTACCTTCACAGGTATACCTTACATGTATACAGATTTTTGGCCCTGTTCTATGACTAACCTTCACAGGTATACCTGACATGAATACAGATTTTTGGCCTTGTTCCATGACTCACCTTCGCAGGTATACCCTGCATGTATACAGATTTTTGGCCCTGTTCTATGACTTACCTTCACAGGTATACCTGACATGTATACAGATTTTTGGCCCTGTTCCATGACTAACCTTCACAGGTATACCTGACATGTACCTGGGTATACAGATTTTTGGCCCTGTTCTATGACTTACCTTCACAGGTATACCTGACATGTATACAGATTTTTGGCCCTGTTCTATGACTTACCTTCACAGGTATACCTGACATGAATACAGATTTTTGGCCCTGTTCTATGACTTAACTTCACAGGTATACCAGACATGAATACAGATTTTTGGCCCTGTTCTATGACTTACCTTCACAGGTATACCAGACATGAATACAGATTTTTGGCCCTGTTCCATGACTAACCTTCACAGGTATACCTGACATGTATACAGATTTTTGGCCCTGTTCTATAACTTACCTTCACAGGTATACCTTACATGTATACAGATTTTTGGCCCTGTTCTATGACTAACCTTCACAGGTATACCTGACATGAATACAGATTTTTGGCCTTGTTCCATGACTCACCTTCGCAGGTATACCCTGCATGTATACAGATTTTTGGCCCTGTTCTATGACTTACTTTCACAGGTATACCTGACATGTATACAGATTTTTGGCCCTGTTCCATGACTAACCTTCACAGGTATACCTGACATGTATACAGATTTTTGGCCCTGTTCTATGACTTACCTTCACAGGTATACCTGACATGTATACAGATTTTTGGCCCTGTTCTATGACTTAACTTCACAGGTATACCAGACATGAATACAGATTTTTGGCCCTGTTCTATGACTTACCTTCACAGGTATACCAGACATGAATACAGATTTTTGGCCCTGTTCTATGACTTACCTTCACAGGTATACCAGACATGAATACAGATTTTTGGCCCTGTTCTATGACTTACCTTCACAGGTATACCAGACATGAATACAGATTTTTGGCCCTGTTCCATGACTTAACTTCAGAGGTATACCCTGCATGTTTACTGATTTTTGGCCCTGTTCTAAAACTTACCTGGTATTGAGACAGAATCTGTTTTGCATTTGCATAGAGACTCAGAAATTTCTGGTGATCATCGGCATCAAGGTAGTCGATAGGGAGGATACCCTATAGAAACATAACAAATACATCATATCTGCTAATTCAACGAACAGTCAGAGACAGGTTATGCTCCCTGAATAGGACAAAATATAAATATGGAAGATAACAAGGGTCAATAAGACAGTTATGATTCTTGTGCACTGCCCTCCTCCTCACTGAGATCTATCTACCTATGAAGTTAATGTTGATACCTCTTAAAGTTTGAGTGTAATGCTCCAAACAAAATTTAAGTATGAAAAAAATAAAGGGCAATAACTCCTAAATCATACAAATGAGAGTGATGGTTTTGGTGCACTGCACTTCTCCTTGTTAAGATTTATCTACTGTTGAAATCTAATGTTGATACAACTTATAGTTTCAGTATAATGCTCTAGACAAAATTTAAGTATGAAAAATAACAAAGGGCAATAACTCCTCAATTTGCATAAAAAGGGTGATGGTTCTTGTGCACTGCACCTCTCCTTGTAGAGATTTATTTATCTAGGAAGTTCCATGTTGGTAACTCTTCTACTTTTTGTGTTACGCTTCTGACAAAATTATGACAGACAAACGGGCCTACAGATGGACAATTTGTAGGAGATTTTGCCCTTTGTTACTTTTCTTACATAAATTTTGACCGGAGCATTACACTAGAATTATAAGAGGTATTAACATGAAACTTTCTAAGTACAATGAGTTAGAGGACATTGCAGAAAAATCATCAATCTCTTATTGCCCTTTGTTATTTTCCATACTTTATCCTGATCGTGGAGCATACCCTGTCTCTGATAGCCATTGTTTAATTTTATTGTTCAATTCAGGAGCCTTCATATGACATTATACTGATAGTTTCTTTTTCAATATGCGAAGAATTGAAGTATGTAAAAAAAACTTACCACAGAATTGACAGGATAAGGAATGCCAATTAGACAGGCCATCAGTGGAGCAATATCTGCCTGTAAATAACAGTAAATCACTGTGTGACAGTGTAATAGAGAAACATACCACACTTAGACAGGTCATCAGTGGAGCAATATCTGTCTGTAAATAACAGTAAATCACTGTGTGTAATAGAGAAACATACCACACTTAGACAGGTCATCAGTGGAACAATATCTGTCTGTAAATAACAGTAAATCACTGTGTGTAATAGAGAAACATACCATACTTCCCAATACCTGGTATATTAACATGTTATTCTGAAATCTCTATTTTCTCAAGGATCTCCTAGCAAATACCAATATTATTTTTAAGTTTTCAGTAGTATTTACCTGCTGTACATCCGAGCGCTTCAGGTGTCTGAGATTCCAGTCTACAAAACCAAATGGGAATGATAAAATATACTGTTATAATGAGGATATCATTCAAAATTTCTCAACTCAAATCTGTACTCGATACATATCTAAATTATGAACAACATTTATAATCATTTTGCACTCCATTATCAAAATCCAAAATCTAATTAACACAAACCCTCAGAGTAGGAGTCCTGATCAACTCTTTCTTTTCCAGTAACTGGTTTTCTGACCCCAGCTCCCCAAGCAACCAGTGGGGTCAAGGTCTCATGGGGATGTCCAGCTCCATGAGAACCTGTCAAATACAGCATTCTCAGATACAAAATATGTCTCTGCAATGTATGGTCATTGGCTTTGGTGAAAATAGAGTTCAACACAGACTAGGTTTATACAGGTCACTAAATATCAAGTCAGATGCAAACTTCAGTTTGTAGATTTCGTCTCAGTAAATATTCAAAACATGATAGAAACTTAAAATGATTAAAACTTTGTTCATATTTCAAACCCATGATATGATATCGCTTCAGAAAAAAATCCATCAAAAGACTACAAGATGTTGGCTTTTATACTCCATAAGAATGCAATGTGTGATTTAAAATGAGATCTTGATAGCCACCAGTACTAATAGCAATAAGTTAATTAGGTCTAAGTAAGTTTGATATTCTCCCTCACATCATCAAGTTTTATGTCTTATCACCAAATTTTCAAAATGAGACCATCATTGTCAGCCACAAATTTGTTTTTTTAAATTATCACCTGTACCCTTCTTTCTCAGTGTGTGGAAAACTCTTCTAAAGATAACTATTCTGTGAAGAAAATCTGATAAATTATTCTTCTAGCCGTGTCAATATCAGAATTTCAATGCCTTTTCAACTTACATGAAGCATGTTTTTCAATAAGACACATAAAATTTTGCCTAAGTCAGTAATTTTTTAAATATTGGGAAGAAATTGAGGACAAATATGAAAGATGTATTAATGACTGATAAGAATGATCAGATAACAATGATACACACCCCAGTTTGTCATGCCGTGGTCGGCTGTCATCAGGTACGCCGTTCTCCCATCGTTATCATAATACTGTTCTATCAACTCAGTCATTTCCTTGATTCCTGAATCCACCAGTTTAATATTCTCCAAATATTCCCTGTAAAAGATGTGTCTAGAATCAATTCAATGACCACCTTAAATATATCAACAATCTAACCAAATCTGTTACATATTAAATAAGTAAGTTTTGATTTCCAAGTTAAATCATTTTATCAGACATTTGGTTACCACACGTATATATGCTAGTCTAAATAGTCTAGGTTTACTAGAGTGACCAAGATCTACACTGACCATATGTTTACTAGGCTGGACTGTCATTTGTAAGAGTGACCAAGATCTGCACTGACCATAGGTTGACTGACCTGAATTGTGGTTTGTGAGAGTGACCAATTATTCCTACTCTGACTTAAATTTACTTACCTAGGCTTACGATTTGTGATACTGACCAAATGTTTCTGCCCTGACCTGGACTGTGGTTTGTGAGAATGACCAATTGTTTCTGCTCTGACCTCAAGATTTACTGACCTGGACTGTGGTTTGTGAGAATGACTGATTGTTTCTGCTCTGACCTTATAATTGACTGACCTGGACTGAGGTTTGTGAGAATGACCAATTGTTTCTGCTCTGACCTTATAATTGACTGACCTGGACTGTGGTTTGTGAGAATGACCAATTGTTTCTGCTCTGACCTTATAATTGACTGACCTGGACTGTGGTTTGTGAGAATGACCAATTGTTTCTGCTCTGACCTTATAATTGACTGACCTGGACTGTGGTTTGTGAGAATGACCAATTGTTTCTGCTCTGACCTTATAATTGACTGACCTGGACTGAGGTTTGTGAGAATGACCAATTGTTTCTGCTCTGACCTTATAATTGACTGACCTGGACTGTGGTTTGTGAGAATGACCAATTGTTTCTGCTCTGACCTTATAATTGACTGACCTGGACTGTGGTTTGTGAGAATGACCAATTGTTTCTGCTCTGACCTTATAATTGACTGACCTGGACTGTGGTTTGTGAGAATGACCAATTGTTTCTGCTCTGACCTTATAATTGACTGACCTGGACTGTGGTTTGTGAGAATGACCAATTGTTTCTGCTCTGACCTCAAGATTTACTGACCTGGACTGTGGTTTGTGAGAATGACCAATTGTTTCTGCTCTGACCTTATAATTGACTGACCTGGACTGAGGTTTGTGAGAATGACTGATTGTTTCTGCTCTGACCTTATAATTGACTGACCTGGACTGAGGTTTGTGAGAATGACCGTTTGTGTCTATCCCCAATAGATGGAAGAAGAAGACAATCTTGTCCTTATTTAACTGTTCCATCAATTTTCTGTCACTTTTCCCTGTCTTTAATAATGCCTAGTAATGCAATGATAAAAATGATGAACTTAAATAGTACATACACAAAACATGGCAGAAATAAAAGAAATAGATTTCTAAAGTATCTGATAAATATTACCTTGATTAAAGATTATTTTACCGGCAATCTCCAACCTGGTCAGAAGGCCTTATTGTAAATAGTGTACAAAACTAGAAATCTGAACATTGTTGGAAAAGTTGTGGCCAGTTATCAACATCAGCAAATATTGTTTTAAATTTGATCTAAGAATTCCAAATCTGTACATTTATCATAATCTCATTATGCTAATTAGAAATCTAGAATATCACAAAACACATCATCACAACTGACCTTGACTCTGTCAAACACCCATGTGTCTAGCTTAGAGGAATTGGAGTCCGCAAAGTCCTCCAGTTCAGGTGGGTACTGGTCAGTCAGCACATGGTCACCACTGGCCCCTGAGCACAGGCAATAATTATTATAATTTTTGAAGACATGGTAATAACACTTTAAAGCCTGCATGAATAAACCAAACAATACTTTCATCACTGGATCATTTCTATTTTTCTGTTTTCTGATTCTTTTGAAGCCGTCAGATTGACAATAAAATGTAAGGGTTACTGTATTCAGTTGTTACTTAATGGGAGACTGTCCTAAATTTTTTCAGATATCATAGAAGTAAGAAAACAATGTGACACGTTTATTTAGACTATAAAGGTTATAACAGTCTATATCTCCTACCATAGCTTTATTTATTTATTGCTTTAACCAGTCGGACTTGGTTTTTTTTATCCAATAAGGGCTGACCTACTGATCTTACTTTACTTTCTGAGGAGCCTCAAAGAAGCTAGTTGAGGACTTTATTAACATTTGCAGAGCTGTCCCTATGTATGCTTGTAGTGATGACACGATACTAAACTGGTTTGTTCAGGTTCAAGGGAGATAACCTTTACACCATCAGCTGATTAGAAAACTGATTGATGAACAAGGATTTTGACTTGAAATGAAGTTTACTGAAAATGACATTCATAGAAATATGCACAGCACTTGCAGCTATCAACAGATTATAGCCCTTGGAGGTCGCCAAAGAAAACAAAACGAAAAATAAATGAAAAGATTCAAATTCTGAATCTCATTAAACTGTAAAGCCTGATAAATGCCTGTTTACCTTATATTGAATTAAATAAAATATGCCAAGCAAGACCATTAGCCTGAATTTACTTACCTTTCGCAAACATTGGTAGTATGTCTGGGCTGCCCCAGGACCATGTATAGCGACTTTCATTGAATACAGAGTCAAACTCTACAGGATTTTCCTTCCAGCCTACAGTCAACAGAATATGCTCATTTATGTATTACTGTCAATACTTCATAAAAAACATATAAGTCTAAAATGCTTATCTTACTAACAGCTGTTTGTTTTAAATCCATTACAAAGTTTTCTCAGTGCTTTTCCATCTTATTCTACACTTAATTTCCTGTTAATAAAATTGGACATTTAGTTTTCAGTTGTGACAAATAACCCTAAAATCAATATTAGGCGATACCTTTAGCAACTGCACTGACATCCTCATAAAAACCAGCAATAAGTGCAACGTGACCAGGCCTAGACTCTGTGGGCACTCGTGTGTGAGACACACCCCATGCTCCTTTATTATCTATTACAGATCTGTGGATGAAACAAAACATCAAAGAAGATAGGGAAATTCTTATGACAAGCAAGTAATTTGACATTTGGTAATAAACTGAAATTGCTTTTATAAAAACTCAGCTAAAATCAGCTTTCATTAAAACAATATAAGTAAATTCTGAAAATATCATATTTTCATTCTGTGAAATACATTATGTAAAAAAAACACATAATTTTCAAAGGTGCAATTCAAAACTTTGACTTTCATCAAACACACATATAAAGAATATTTACAAATATTCTCTGTAAAGACAGTGAGCACATTGAACACTATCCCTTAGGATTATCAGCGAAAACTGTGAACAAATTCAAAAATCCAAGTTAGCTCAATTGGAAGAGTGTACAGCTAGAGTTTGGAGGGCCCTAGCTTTGAGATCTGATCCAACCATGCATTTTTCAACTCCTATTTCATTTAGTGCTTGTGATCAATCCTTGTTTCAAGATGAATGCTTGACAAGTGGATACTTGTACCTGGGTTGTAATAGTTGTGTCTTCAAGGATGAAAACTTAAAAAAAAAAAAAAAAGAAAATGAGGAAGGAATATAGCAAAACTGGGATGAGTTGATCATTGGTGACGAGGTAGCTCAATTGGTAGAGTGTCCAGCTAGATTTTGGAGGGTCCTGGGTTCGAGCCCTGGCCTGGCATTTTTCCACTCCTATTACACAACTACTACGTGTTTGAAATATATCAATTTAGATATAAAGAAGTAGAACATCCCAATTATTTCTTAAGTCTCCGACTAGTACAGCCTAGCTATCTCTAAATGCAGGACACTCTTTCACTTGTACCTGAGATATGGAGCTCTTGATTTGCCATCATCATCAACCTCAAAAAATTTGTCAGCTCTGAGGCCATCGGCCACAAACAGAATGAGCCTCTTGGCTGGAGGTGATTCGTTGGACACATGTGGTGTCATACCATGTACCAACGGGGAGGTGAAGTAAATGTCAAATATGGAATAGAAAAGCACTATGTGAACATACAGGCCAGTCAGGATCAAGGCCCATGTCCTCATGGTTGTGCTTCTGGAATGTACAAATAGAGAAAAATGTAATTAAATGTTAATTTTCTGAATTAATGTTATCTAGAAAAACAATATGTTAATCTATATGTTTTGAAATTTAGGCATAGCATTTTTTTGTTTAGAATATGTGAAGTGAGGCAGGTTGGAAATATCTGTGTATTTGTGAGGATGCACTTTAAGTCCATCACATCCACTCATTACAGAGATTTTTTTGATCTGCTGAACTCCGACACATTTGTCTAAAAATGCTTTCTAAACATTAGCAAACAAAATGGCAGTTTCTCATCCACAGACAGAGATATTTATCTGTTGGGCTACATTTGCAAACAAAACATTTGAAATATGTTGTCTACTTTTTGAACAAATTGATAAACAATACTACTATACAATCTTGCCATTGAAAACTATGAAACCTCAGGTCAATTTATTTTTTTAAAATGTGCTTTTTAAGTATAGATTCACTTAGCTGGACATGATTTTACTCTGGCTGACTGTCCATTTTTCTACATGGTGTAGTGTATGGTTTATTAAATTGTAAACAAATCATACAACATATGCATTTTAAGCACTTTAGACAAACCTTTACAGCAATAAATCCGAGTTCACAGGACAAAGAAAAAATCTGTAATACATGTAATCCTGGTAAAATACCAGCTTCAATATACCACTAGACTAGTGAGAACATCTTTTTCGCTCGATCGAGTGTGTGTCAGTCTAATAAGCTAGATGTCACGGGTTCGAATCCTATGATAACTTTCATTATACATATAATGTTTTGGACTTTCAGTCAGTGCATCCACACAAATCCAATGGTGTTCCTTACCCGTTAGTAAATATTCTTAACAGTATGTATGATGTCCATAAATAAAAACACCAAAAAATGCATATATATTTATAAAGCATTATACATCAACCGCGACAAATACAATAAGAAAACCACGGACAGTTAGTCAGAACTCTTCGGACAAACAAAACAGTTGCGTCAGTCGATTACATTACCAAGTTTCTAAAATAAGGAAATACAACAGACACAACACTTGACATGTTTACCGATTGTGTAAATCGTTTTCAACACGCCAATGCTTGAAATACGTGTAACTATTGAAAAAGTTCAGGGTGGTAACAAAGAAAACATTAAATTAGCTGTATTTACATTACGTGGAACCGGCTTGTCGTGACAAAACGACAAACAGGAAGTTTAGAGTTATCTCCTCGCGAATTACTTATCCTTTTGTTGATTGGCTCATGTGTAATTTCATCTCCAATGAGAGAGGTCGATACAATTTCGTGTTGTAAATTATACTTCCGTCAACAACACGGAAACGATAGAAACAATCTGACAGTGAGGAACCATGACGCAAAGGCAAATAGAATGGGCGATGTGGGCCAATGAGCAGGCTGTAGCTAGTGCATTCAGTAAGCATTTGTGTTCATTTCTTGAATGATATTTATCAGTAGCTGAATAGTAGAACTGCTGCCATACATGTTGTCTTTCATATATGTTCTCTCGACCCTGTGAGCATCTTTCCGTGATTTTTAACGTGTGGAATTAGAACACCCCCGGAAAGTCGACACTGTTTTTTTAAACAAAATTATTTAAGCTAACAAAAATCAATGCGATTTCCAATTCCCTCTTTTAAATTTATTTAAGGCGAACACAGTTTTAAAATGAAAATCAATTTTCCTAAGATGTTCCCGATCGATTTTTGAGAAAACCTTCCCAATTTTAAGGAAATCAGTTGAAAGTGATGGAAGGGATCTATAAATATACCACAAATATAAAGAGTCAAGGGCGTTAACTCTTACAAAAAACATTGGCTTGAAATTAAAAGAAAGAAATCTTATCATCTGGAAAAGATTTGAAGAAGTTGAATGCACAGGCCGTCTTACTAGACTAGGCTAGTGGGATTTTCCCTTTAGTTGAACGGTAGAGCTTTGGCCTAGAGACCAAAGAGTGGCTAGTTTGAATCACGTCAGAGACAAAGTATTTTTCATTTACTACTCCTTTGGAGTTCAGTGCTTTCCTTTTATACATTTGGTGTTGTTTACCACTCCAAGGGAAGATGCTATATGGTATTGAGATGTTTCCTTGGATAAGTCAAACTTGGGTTGTTGTTGTCTTCAGTGTCATAGACTTTATGAAGGAGGGATTAGTGTAGATGTTGAAAGTATAGATTGCCTTACTGGCCTCAGCTAGTGGGAAATTCTCTTTAGTTGAGCAGTAGATATTGTCCAGTTAGAGACCAGAGGGTCACTAGTTCAAATCTTGTCATGGGCAGTCTGTTTTTAATTAGTCCTTCCTATATCAGGCTTAAAAAATGCAGAAAAAACAAAGGACACTTAAGATAATGATTTCTGATGTGATCAAAGTGAGAGATTATATCTGGAAAAATGAAGATTACAATAGACAGACAACAATGGCATAATACATGCCCTCCAAATTGTTTATAAGTGTATAACAACAAACACCAATTCGAAAGTGGAGCATAAAAAATGTAAAGTACACCATTACAATGATGCTGGTTATACGAAATAGTAAAAATAGATCAAATACGTGTAACCTAAAGTGATCAAAGTCATCTACCAAAATAGAAAGCCAGGAGTTAACATTTCAAAATATTTGTAGCCAATGGGTCAGGTAAAGGGAAAGGCATTTAAGAATTCTTTCTGCATATTTTGTTACACTATGCTGAGACAATCAATAGAAACCAGCAGTACAAATGTATGGATTGATTACATACCTGTATGAATGTTACATCATTGACAACACTGTAAAAATGGTCCTTGTGGCCAGTTGTGGGCAAAGCTTTCACAATGTACACAATATAGCATTGGGATATATGTAACCATGGTAAATACTAGCTGCATTATATTGCATTGCTAGAGGGAACTTCTCTTTTTTTAAGCCTGATCAGTTGAGCATCAGACAAGTAAACCAGAGGTCCTGAGTTTAAATCCTAGCAGAGGCTCTGAAATAGAGAATGACCTCTGTTACATATATATAACACCCTAACAAACAAACATACAGTGTTGGATTGTATTTCTTGTTGAAAGTGACAATGATTCATTATTTTAATTCTTACTGTTTTCAGTTTTGATATCTGGAGGAGCCATTGGCATAGCAGGTCTCTTTAAAGGCTGGGAATTCGGAATCTATGGAATGTATCCTTTGTGACACAGGGAACCATTATTAATCTTGTCTCCAAACCATGAACATATTTTAATTTATATATTTGACAGTGTACATTTATAGGCATCATCAAGGTAAAATATGTTTAACCTGGAGAACACACTATCAAATAAAACTACATTACCTGAAACAATCTTATGTATCATTTTGTCAGTATGTATTTCATTCATTTGATAAATTTTCCTATTTGGGGAAAGAATAAAAAGCCCTATTATTGCTGAGATATATTATCACAAGTGTTTATAGTATAGTACATGTTAAGTATTAAACTCTTGACAGATCAGATATATCTTGACTTTATCTTTAAGAAATTGCCAGCATTCTCCTCTGAGTATAATTTGAGATGTATAATTTTATTTGGTACTGGTACCTATTCAAATCGCCCCGCGTCCATGGTCTGTTTGTCCATCTGTTGCCCGTGAAGAATATTTGTTACGGCTAAGTGCTCAATGGATCTTTCTCATACGGCAAACATAGGTTCTCCTTAGTTCCTAGTTGTGCCCGTTTAATTTTGAGACTGATCAAAGAAACAAAATGGCCAAGAGGTGGTCATCTTGGATTTTTTTCAATGAAGTTTGTTATCTGTTTTCCTGAAAAGTAATAAATGGATCTCTCTCAAATTTCACATATAGGTTCCCCTTGGTCCCTAGTTGTGCGCATTTGATTTTAGGTCTGATAAAAAAAACAGAATGGCTGACAGGTAGCCATCTTGTATTCTAACTTTGACTTTGAAAGTTTGTTATCACTATTTTTTGAGGACTACAGCATGGATCTTTCTTAAATTTCATGTGTAAGTTTCCCTTTGTCCCTAGTTGCCATCCTGGATTTGGTCCCCAGTTGTGCTCATTTGATTTTGGGACAGATCAGAAAAAACAAAATGGCTTCCAGACTGCCATTTTGGATTTGGCAGGTAAAGATTATCATCGCTTTTTCTGCAAAGGAATGTTCAAATGTCTTATTGTTAAGAGCAAAACAGAGAAGAGAAAAGAAGGGAAAAGATTTAACTTTCAAAGAGCATATAAAGATTAAACAATTGTGGGTACCAAGATCACTCTGGGATCTTTTGTTTTTTATTCTGTGAAATGTGTGACTAAAAGATACATACAATAGACAGATACATATATACGGTTTTCCTTGACCGTTCAGTCTTGCTGGTATTTTTGTGTTGATTATAGAGTACCCTAGAGGAAAGAGGAAAACAAAACACTCCACTCAGGAAAGAAAGTAAGACTTTTGTAATATGTAGGTACTGTCATAGTGTACATAACTCTGGTCCCAGTGACAGACATGTGAGAGTTTGTTACAGATATACAGAACATGAGGGGTCCCAGTGACAGACACGTGAGAGTTTGTTACAGATATACAGAACCTGAGTGGTCCCAGTGACAGACATGTGAGAGTTTGTTACAGATATACAGAACATGAGTGGTCCCAGTGACAGACACGTGAGAGTTTGTTACAGATATACAGAACCTGAGGGGTCCCAGTGACAGACACGTGAGAGTTTGTTACAGATATACAGAACACGAGTGGTCCCGGTGACAGACATGTGAGAGTTTGTTACAGATATACAGAACATGAGGGGTCCCAGTGACAGACACGTGAGAGTTTGTTACAGATATACAGAACCTGAGTGGTCCCAGTGACAGACATGTGAGAGTTTGTTACAGATATACAGAACACGAGTGGTCCCGGTGACAGACATGTGAGAGTTTGTTACAGATATACAGAACACGAGGGGTCCCAGTGACAGACATGTGAGAGGGTTTGTTTCTGATATACAGAACGCGAGGGGTCCCAGTGACAGACATGTGAGAGTTTGTTACAGATATACAGAACGCGAGTGGTCCCAGTGACAGAAACGTGAGAGTTTGTTACAGATATACAGAACCTGAGTGGTCCCAGTGACAGACAGGTGAGAGTTTGTTACAGATATACAGAACATGGGTGGTCCCAGTGACAGACATGTGAGAGTTTGTTACAGATATACAGAACACGAGTGGTCCCAGTGACAGACATGTGAGAGTTTGTTACAGATATACAGAACACGAGTGGTCCCGGTGACAGACATGTGAGAGTTTGTTACAGATATACAGAACACGAGGGGTCCCAGTGACAGACACGTGAGAGTTTGTTACAGATATACAGAACCTGAGTGGTCCCAGTGACAGACATGTGAGAGTTTGTTACAGATATACAGAACCTGAGTGGTCCCAGTGACAGACATGTGAGAGTTTGTTACAGATATACAGAACACGAGTGGTCCCAGTGACAGACATGTGAGAGTTTGTTACAGATATACAGAACACGAGTGGTCCCAGTGACAGACATGTGAGAGGTTTTGTTACAGATATACAGAACGCGAGGGGTCCCAGTGATAGACACGTGAAAGTTTGTTACAGATATACAGAACACGAGTGGTCCCAGTGACAGACATGTGAGAGTTTGTTACAGATATACAGAACATGGGTGGTCCCAGTGACAGACACGTGAGAGTTTGTTACAGATATACAGAACATGGGTTTGTCTCAGTGACAGACATGTGAGAGTTTGTTACAGATATACAGAACACGAGGGGTCCCAGTGACAGACATGTGAGAGGTTTTGTTTCTGATATACAGAACGCGAGGGGTCCCAGTGACAGACATGTGAGAGTTTGTTACAGATATACAGAACACGAGGGGTCCCAGTGACAGACATGTGAGAGTTTGTTACAGATATACAGAATGCGAGTGGTCCCAGTGACAGACACGTGAGAGTTTGTTACAGATATACAGAACCTGAGTGGTCCCAGTGACAGACATGTGAGAGTTTGTTACAGATATACAGAACATGGGTGGTCCCAGTGACAGACATGTGAGAGTTTGTTACAGATATACAGAACATGGGTGGTCCCAGTGACAGACATGTGAGAGTTTGTTACAGATATACAGAACAAGGGTGGTCCCAGTGACAGACATGTGAGAGTTTGTTACAGATATACAGAACATGGGTGGTCCCAGTGACAGACACGTGAGAGTTTGTTACAGATATACAGAACATGGGTGGTCCCAGTGACAGACATGTGAGAGTTTGTTACAGATATACAGAACACGAGTGGTCCCAGTGACAGACATGTGAGAGTTTGTTACAGATATACAGAACATAGACACGTGAAAGTTTGTTACAGATATTGGTCCCAGTGACAGACATGTGAGAGTTTGTTACAGATATACAGAACACGAGGGGTCCCAGTGACAGACATGTGAGAGTTTGTTACAGATATACAGAACACGAGGGGTCATAGTGACAGACATGTGAGAGTTTGTTACAGATATACAGAACACGAGTGGTCCCTGTGACAGACATGTGAGAGTTTGTTACAGATATACAGATCACGAGTGGTCCCAGTGACAGACATGTGAGAGTTTGTTACAGATATACAGAACCTGAGTGGTCCCAGTGACAGACATGTGAGAGTTTGTTACAGATATACAGAACAAGGGTGGTCCCAGTGACAGACATGTGAGAGTTTGTTACAGATATACAGAACACGAGTGGTCCCAGTGACAGACATGTGAGAGTTTGTTACAGATATACAGAACATGGGTGGTCCCAGTGACAGACATGTGAGAGTTTGTTACAGATATACAGAACACGAGTGGTCCCAGTGACAGACATGTGAGAGTTTGTTACAGATATACAGAACACGAGTGGTCCCAGTGACAGACATGTGAGAGTTTGTTACAGATATACAGAACACGAGTGGTCCCAGTGACAGACATGTGAGAGTTTGTTACAGATATACAGAACGCGAGTGGTCCCAGTGACAGACACGTGAGAGTTTGTTACAGATATACAGAACCTGAGTGGTCCCAGTGACAGACATGTGAGAGTTTGTTACAGATATACAGAACACGAGTGGTCCCAGTGACAGACACGTGAGAGTTTGTTACAGATATACAGAACATGGGTGGTCCCAGTGACAGACATGTGAGAGTTTGTTACAGATATACAGAACACGAGTGGTCCCAGTGACAGACATGTGAGAGTTTGTTACAGATATACAGAACACGAGTGGTCCCAGTGACAGACATGTGAGAGTTTGTTACAGATATACAGAACCTGAGTGGTCCCAGTGACAGACATGTGAGAGTTTGTTACAGATATACAGAACACGAGGGGTCATAGTGACAGACATGTGAGAGTTTGTTACAGATATACAGAACACGAGTGGTCCCTGTGACAGACATGTGAGAGTTTGTTACAGATATACAGAACACGACTGGTCCCGGTGACAGACATGTGAGAGTTTGTTACAGATATACAGAACACGAGTGGTCCCAGTGACAGACATGTGAGAGTTTGTTACAGATATACAGAACATGGGTGGTCCCAGTGACAGACATGTGAGAGTTTGTTACAGATATACAGAACATGGGTGGTCCCAGTGACAGACATTTGAGAGTTTGTTACAGATATACAGAACATGGGTGGTCCCAGTGACAGACATGTGAGAGATTGTTACAGATATACAGAACACGAGGGGTCCCAGTGACAGACATGTGAGAGTTTGTTACAGATATACAGAACATGGGTGGTCCCAGTGACAGACATGTGAGAGTTTGTTATAGATATACAGAACATGACTGGTCCCTGTGACAGACACGTGAGAGTTTGTTACAGATATACAGAACACGACTGGTCCCTGTGACAGACACGTGAGAGTTTGTTACAGATATACAGAACCTGAGTGGTCCCAGTGACAGACATGTGAGAGTTTGTTACAGATATACAGAACACGAGTGGTCCCTGTGACAGACATGTGAGAGTTTGTTACAGATATACAGAACACGAGTGGTCCCGGTGACAGACATGTGAGAGTTTGTTACAGATATACAGAACATGGGTGGTCCCAGTGACAGACACGTGAGAGTTTGTTACAGATATACAGAACACGAGTGGTCCCGGTGACAGACATGTGAGAGGTTTTTACAGAATGCGAATTATTTTTTTTTGTCGCTCCTTGAAGCAAGTGTACAGATGTATATAGTGTCTGAAAACCAAATTCATAAGTCCATATTTTTGAAAAAATATTTTTGACAACATGTATATAATTTGTGTCTGCAGCACACAACTGATACCCACTTATAAAGAGAATGTTGTGTTTAACAAAAGACTGTCCTTATCTTTGGATTTTTATCGAAATAGAAAATTTCAACTAATCTCAGCAAAATTGAAATTAGAATAACTCTAGTTCATGTAAGTTACTATGACCATCATAATCAAAAATATAATTTTTCATAAACTAAGACAGTATTCAAAGTTAATTAATTGATTTTAAACTAAATGGTTTTGAATTTTAATGTGTTTCAAAGTCCCAGTGAAAACCTAACCCATTTATATTACATACATGTCTCTGTAGTTTTATTAAATGATATTTATACAAAATGAAAGTGATGAAATAATTTTTTTTAGATATTGTTTTATCATAAGTTATTTTTTTGATTTATCGACAGGTGCCAGAGAACTTTGTCTAGACTCCTGAATTGCTGCGGGCCAGTCACACGCAATTACTTTGTTAGATTTATTATGCATCTAGTGTAAGTCAGTACACTTTCTGTTATCACGATCAAAAAATTGGTAAGGAATTGTATATGATGAAATGTCACAGTGGTAAGCATATTTACTTTTGACCTTATGATACTTGATAGACAGTTTTATCAGAGCACTGTAAGCAGTATCTAAAGTAAACAAATAAACAATGTCAATCTTGAACAGATACACAATGTAGAATACTTTAAAGTCTGATTGTAGGTCTGTTCACTGATCACTGTTAAATTGTCAGTACAGTTACACAAATCATGTGTTAGTGATTCTGTTCACTGATCACTGTTAAATTGTCAGTACAGTTACACAAATCATGTGTTAGTGATTCTGTATTGATCATGACACTGTTAAATTGTCAGTAGAGTTACACAAATCATGTGTTAGTGATTCTGTTCACTGATCACTGTTAAATTGTCAGTACAGTTACACAAATCATGTGTTAGTGATTCTGTTCACTGATCACTGTTAAATTGTCAGTACAGTTACACAAATCATGTGTTAGTGATTACTATAATAGATATAGGAAAAATAGATTTTTGAGCAAAATTTGTTTAATTTTCCCTGGAAATATTTCAAACTTGGTTAGAATTTTGAGTGAAGGATGACAGCTTGATGGTATGCCCATAATGATCCTGGCTGCCCTCCAGGGGCTGATGGGCAGGGCCAAAAGGGGTCATATTGACTAAAACTTTAAATACATGTATCTTCATCTCAACATCCAGGTACGGTAGAATGAAATGCTCTGTATGCATGGAAGCATCTTAAGTTTCTTTAATAACCAACTGGTTCTCATCATTTTTCCTGAGGAGGAAGTATTTTTTAAACTTTACTGTAATTCTCATGGAAAAATAGCATTTTTGAGCTTAAAGTTGGCTATTTCCCACTGGAAATAACTTTGTAAGAATTATCAGTATAGAATGACAGCTTTGGTGGTATGCATGTATTGACACTGCCTTACTATATTCAGTGTCACAATTTCTGTTTCATGACACTTGATAACTACCCTTTAACCTTTATATTTAATACAGCTTATCTCATGTGACCGTCAAGGTCGCTCAGTCTCTTGTTAATTTTTGTCGCTGTTATATTTCCTTCGATCCTTACCAGTTTAGTGTTTGTGTTAATGCCAGTAATGATGTATGTTACAGACTGTGTGTACCTGCCTGCTTTATTCTTGCTACACTGCTAGGAGGGGTCTGTCTCTTCATCACAAGTATGATCTACATGGTGGTGAGTAAGAAAGCAGTTCCTTTGTCCTAATAGTATTTACCGCATATATACACAGGGGTTATCCTACATTGAGTCCAGGAGCTTACATCAAAGATTTGTGGGACATAGATATTGGAGTCCAGAACTCATGCTTTTCCTGTGGGACTTGCCCAAAGTTTGAAATCATACCCTGTTTCTTGATAATGGGAATCCTCAAAAGTTTTTGAAATGGTGTTCTGGACTGGCCTGAAAAAAATGAATTAATATCAACACTGCGAAAGGGAAACCAGGAAATATTTTGTATGTTCAAGTCAACACAAGAAATTTACTTGTATATCTACAGTACTAGTATCAGCACTATAGTATACTCTCATGAATATATCGACTCTGTGAATACAAAACAAACATTTTATGACATACGTAGATATGCGTGTATGGATTAAATAGATATTACAACAGTACATACTACCTAAAGAAACAAAATGTATTAAGATACCAACATCTTTATACACTGTTCCTAAATATGTTTAACCAGCTATATATATCCGTTGAGAAGTGATTGTTAATGAACACAGTAATTTGGAGTACCTATTTTAACACTTGTAGGCTGCCTTCCGGGGAGAAGAATGGGTAGCGGTAGGTCTAGAGGAGAAGGAGGAGGACCCCGTCAGAGAATTGAAATCCTTTAAACAGCCAAGGAAACCCCCACCACGGTTCCGTGGTCCTGTACAGGAAGAGGGAGAGAACCGGGTGTGAGACATACGTTACTGATATTTACCAGATGTGTTCAGACAAGAATTCTGATGAAATATGCCCTTCTTTATAAACCCATGTCATACATCTTATAGTTTTTATTTATCCCAATTTGATGCTAACATAAATAATTATGTTCATACCAGCAACATTTTAGAAAGACTTTTATGCTATGTTGCCATCAGTTTTGGTACACATAGAAATTATATATGTTCTTGGGATATACATTCATGTACATGTGCATATACAAATGATCTTCCATTATGTTTACAAATATTTTTAAAACAAATCGTTGGGGGTTTTTTTGCTGTCTTCCAGTTGCTTTTTTTTATGAAGTGCACAGAAAATTTCTGAATGAAATATTTTAGCATTGAAACAAGTTTCACTTTCATGTACAATGTAAGTTAAATAAAATGTTCTCCTTTAGAATCAGTTGGATAAACTTTTGACATTTTGATCTTCTTCTCAAGTTCCACCATTGGGATTGAGCTCAAACTTGCATGAAATGATCCTAAGTAAGTCCTGACCAAGTGTTGTTTTTTTCGGGCATGTCTAAAATCCAAGATTGCCGCCATCTTGAAAACCGTGTTTTAAACTTCTTCTCCAGTTTCACTGGTGCCATTGAGCTGAAAATTGATGGTGAAGTTGTTAACAAAGTGTTGTTATTTTTTCAACCTTGTCAAAACTTTGACATGGAAGCCAGGAAGGCCATTTTGAAACATGATTGTGCAATCATGGTTTTGCTGTGCAACATCCATGTCAAACTTCATCTCCAGTTTCACTAGTTGGATTTAGCTCCAACTTTACTGTCAACAAAAATAGATAACCTACTCCTCACCAAAACTACCATCTTGCTTAATGGAGAACAGCTTTTAGTAAGATTTCATTCAAAGTAGAAATCATCACCTACTCCCTGCTGTTTTAGTAGTTAGATGCCTGTTAAGGCCTGTGGGCCTCTTGTTTCATTATAGGTCTTCTAGTACAGTAGGTCATTATTATACTTATATAATCTATATATAACACAAAGAATGCATAAAGTATATCAGTGAAGATTGAGATTAATATTGTTGGGTATAATTTGGAGTTCAGTCCAACTTTGTTATCTTGAATTCGGTTGGACCATGGGAAAACTTTGAGATAACAAAGTATTCAATTTAAGTAAGTTTGAATGTTTTATGTTAAGTTAGACAGGAACCATGGAAATGCTTCCAAGTAGGCAAGGTCTTTACTTTATAGGAGTTCCAGGTAACGAGGTATGACTGTATTGTATGTAGAGGTTTGGAATCCATTAGAAATGTTGTAAAGAAAAGTTATCTATAATGTTAATACCTTGTAGATAAAGGATGTTACCTGATAGATAAAGGATGTTACCTTGTAGATAAAGGATGTTATCTGATAGATAAAGGATGTTACCTTGTAGATAAAGGATGTCACCTTGTAGATAAAGGATGTTACCTTGTAGATAAAGGATGTTACCTTGTAGATAAAAGATGTTACCTGATAGATAAAGGATGTTACCTTGTAGATAAAGGATGTTACCTGATAGATAAAGGATGTTACCTGGTAGATAAAAGATGTTACCTGATGGATAAAGGATGTTACCTGATAGATAAAGGATGTTACCTGATAGATAAAGGATGTTACCTGATAGATAAAGGATGTTACCTGATAGATAAAGGATGTTACCTTGTAGATAAAGGATGTTACCTTGTAGATAAAAGATGTTACCTGATGGATAAAGGATGTTACCTTGTAGATAAAGGATGTTACCTTGTAGATAAAGAATGTTACCTGATAGATAAAGGATGTTACCTTGTAGATAAAGGATGTTACCTTGTAGATAAAAGATGTTACCTGATGGATAAAGGATGTTACCTTGTAGATAAAAGATGTTACCTTGTAGATAAAGGCTGCTTCCTTGTAGATAAATTCTGCTACCTGGTAGATAAAGGATGTTACCTGGTAGATAAAGGATGTTACCTGGTAGATAAAGGCTGCTACCTTGTAGATAAAGGATGTTACCTTGTAGATAAAGGCTGCTACCTTGTAGATAAATTCTGCTACCTGGTAGATAAAGGATGTTACCTGGTAGATACAGGATGTTACCTGGTAGATACAGGATGTTACCTTGTAGATAAAAGCTGCTACCTTGTAGATAAAGGATGTTATCTGGTAGATAAAGGCTGCTACCTGTGTATAAAGGATGTTACCTGGTAGATAAAGGCTGCTTCCTTGTAGATAAAGGATGTTACCTGGTACATAAAGGCTGCTACCTTGTAGATAAAGGATGTTACCTTGTAGATAAAGGCTGCTACCTTGTAGATAAATTCTGCTACCTGGTAGATAAAGGTTGTCACCTGGTAGATACAGGATGTTACCTTGTAGATAAAAGCTGCTACCTTGTAGATAAAGGATGTTATCTGGTAGATAAAGGCTGCTACCTTGTAGATAATGGATGTTACCTGGTAGATAAAGGATGTTATCTTGTAGATAAAGGCTGCTACCTTGCAGATAAATTCTGCTACCTGGTAGATAAAGGATGTTACCTGGTAGATACAGGATGTTACCTTGTAGATAAAAGCTGCTACCTTGTAGATAAAGGATGTTATCTGGTAGATAAAGGCTGCTACCTTGTAGATAAAGGATGTTACCTGGTAGATAAAGGATGTTATCTGGTAGATAAAGGCTGCTACCTTGTAGATAAAGGCTGCTACCTTGTAGATAAAGGATGTTACCTGGTAGAGAAAGGATGTTACCTGATTGATAAAGGCTGCTACCTTGTAGATAAAGAATGTTACCTGGTAGATAAAGGCTGCTACCTGTAGATAAAGGATGTTACCTGGTAGATAAAGGATGCTACCTTGTAGATAAAGGATGTTACCTTGTAGATAAAAGCTGCTACCTTGTAGATAAAGGATGTTATCTGGTAGATAAAGGCTGCTACCTTGTAGATAAAGGATGTTACCTGGTAGATAAAGGATGTTATCTAGTAGATAAATTCTGCTACCTTGTAGATAATGGCTGCTACCTTGTAGATAAAGGATGTTACCTGGTAGATAAAGGATGTTACCTGATTGATAAAGGCTGCTACCTTGTAGATAAAGAATGTTACCTGGTAGATAAAGGATGTTATCTGGTAGATAAAGGCTGTTACCTTGTAGATAAAGGATGTTACCTTGTAGATAAAGGCTGCTACCTGTAGATAAAGGATGTTACCTGGTAGATAAAGGCTGCTACCTTGTAAATAAAGGATGTTACCTGGTACATAAAGGCTGCTACCTTGTATATAAAGGATGTTACCTGGTAGATGAATTCTGCTACCTGGTAGATAAAGGATGTTACCTGGTAGATAAAGGATGTTACCTGGTAGATAAAGGATGTTATCTGGTAGATAAATTCTGCTACCTTGTAGATAAAGGATGTTACCTGATTGATAAAGGCTGCTACCTTGTTGATAAAGAATGTTACCTGGTAGATAAAGGATGTTATCTGGTAGATAAAGGCTGCTACCTTGTAGATAAAGGATGCTACCTTGTAGATAAAGAATGTTACCTGGTAGATAAAGGATGTTATCTGGTAGATAAAGGCTGCTACCTGGTAGATAAAGGATGTTACTTGGTAGATAAATTCTGCTTCCTTGTAGATAAAGGATGTTACCTGGTACATAAATTCTGCTACCTTGTAGATAAAGGCTGTTACCTTGTAGATAAAGGCTGCTACCTTGTAGATAAATTCTGCTACCTTGTAGATAAAGGATGTTACCTGGTAGATAAAGGATGTTATCTGGTAGGTAAAGGCTGCTACCTTGTAGATAAATTCTGCTACCTGGTAGATAAAGGATGTTACCTGGTAGATAAAGGCTGCTATCTGGTAGATAAAGGCTGCTACCTGGTAGATAAAGGATGTTACTTGGTAGATAAATTCTGCTTCCTTGTAGATAAAGGATGTTACCTGGTACATAAATTCTGCTACCTTGTAGATAAAGGCTGTTACCTTGTAGATAAAGGCTGCTACCTTGTAGATAAATTCTGCTACCTTGTAGATAAAGGATGTTACCTGGTAGATAAAGGATGTTATCTGGTAGGTAAAGGCTGCTACCTTGTAGATAAATTCTGCTACCTGGTAGATAAAGGATGTTACCTGGTAGATAAAGGCTGCTACCTGGTAGATAAAGGATGTTACTTGGTAGATAAATTCTGCTTCCTTGTAGATAAAGGATGTTACCTGGTACATAAATTCTGCTACCTTGTAGATAAAGGCTGTTACCTTGTAGATAAAGGCTGCTACCTTGTAGATAAATTCTGCTACCTTGTAGATAAAGGATGTTACCTGGTAGATAAAGGATGTTATCTGGTAGGTAAAGGCTGCTACCTTGTAGATAAATTCTGCTACCTGGTAGATAAAGGATGTTACCTGGTAGATAAATTCTGCTTCCTTGTAGATAAAGGATGTTACCTGATAGATAAAGGATGTTACCTGGTTGATAAAGGCTGCTACCTTGTAGATAAAGAATGTTACCTGGTAGATAAAGGATGTTAGCTGGTAGATAAAGGCTGCTACCTTGTAGATAAAGGATGTTACCTGATTGGTAAAGGCTGCTACCTTGTAGATAAAGAATGTTACCTGGTAGATAAAGGATGTTATCTGGTAGATAAAGGCTGCTACCTTGTAGATAAAGGCTGCTACCTTGTAGATAAAGGATGTTACCTGGTAGATAAAGATGTTACCTGATTGATAAAGGCTGCTACCTTGTAGATAAAGAATGTTACCTGGTAGATAAAGGATGTTATCTGGTAGATAAAGGCTGCTACCTTGTAGATAAAGGATGTTACCTGGTACATAAAGGCTACTACCTTGTAGATAAAGGCTGTTACCTTGTAGATAAAGGCTGCTACCTTGTAGATAAAGGATGTTACCTTGTAGATAAAGGATGTTACCTTGTAGATAAAGGATGTTACCTTGTTGAGAAAGGATGTTACCTTGTTGAGAAAGGATGTTACCTTTTATATACGATATTAATAAATGGCCATCAGGCCATAAATTTGACATAAATTTAGTTGAATTTAAAACTTCATTCCTCCGAATTGCTTTTAAAATGCTGATATTAAGCAATGACAATAAGATTAATTTTTGCATCAGGTAGGTGCAAAGTTGCAAGGAGATTATTATTGAATTATTTATTTGAACTATTATATTAGGTTATTAGGATGGTACATTTTGTGACAGTTAACAGTCTTTCATGATGGCCTTGTTGTAGTTTATGTACAGAAAAAGTTGTATATATTCTATGTGTGTTGTTTTGTCATCACGTGGTGACCTCTCCTGACCAACTGATGCCATCAATGGAAGATTTTGTTGAGAATCAATTTAAGTATTGAGTTCGGTGAACCAAAGTTACAGAGACTGTAGAGGTCCATAAAACCTCCCCAGGCTACTCAATTTGTGTGTAGTACATACAATATATATCTGTTACTAACACTTTTTATATATAGATATTATATGTATGATATCATTAAATCTATTTTTATAACAAAGCTTGTTTGTTGCTTGTTTCTTACTTAATGTATTTGTCGGGTTTATTTTACAAATATTACAAAACACAGAGAAAATTAGAAATAATGAAATGATGTATGTGGGCAATGTAAATGTCCTTGCTGGCCACCAAGGAGAAATAAGTTTATAAGTTCAGACGCCCTCCAAGGCAGCAGTGGAGTTGGCCTGTTGGATCTGGGGGATCAAGTACGATGGGATAAAAAGACAGTGTTAGGGATGAGGACTATGTGATCCTGATGACTTGTCCCATAGAGGAGGCAGCATGCATGCAAACAAGGGCTAATGGTGAGGGTGAGTGTGTCGATGCTGTGGAGGAACCAGGATGCAAGAACTGCAATCTGAGAAACAGACAGGTGATTTGGGGTCAGTGAAGGCTTTGTATCAATACTGTAGATGTCATCAGCGACATAAAATTCATCTGTGTCGAAGAAATGGCACTATACCATTGCTTTAAACCCTCCTAGTAAAGAAGATGATGGTACTATCAAAGAATTGGACTAAAGAAGAAAGACGCACACAGACCAATACCAGTCAAATTCTGATAACACCATACCTTACAACAGAAGTTGGGTGATGTACAAACCTTGCTCAACAGATGTGAAACGATGATCACAGAAGAACAAGTGAGAACACAATCACATCCATAGCGCCATGTGGATTGGGCAATCCAGAAGAACAATGTTGATGAAAGCAACAAGAGATCCCAGAAGGATCTTGGCACTCATCATTGTTTTATCTTTATATGCTTTTTGAAAGTTGTATTTTTTCCTTTCTCTTCTCTTCTCTTTTTTCGCTCTTAATGATGAGACATTTGAACATTCCTTTGCAGAAAAACAATGATAATCTTTACCTGCCAAATCCAAAATGGACGCCTGGAAGCCATTTTGTTTCTTTTGATCAGATCAATAATCAAACTAGCACAAAGAGAGACCAAAGGGAAAATACGTATGAAATTTAAGAGATATCCATTCAGTGCTCCTTGATAAATATCAATAACAATCTCACTTGGCTAAATCTAAGATGGCTGCCTGTTAGCTATTTTGTTTTTCTGATGAGTCCCAAAACAAGATGGGAACAACAAGGGACCGAAAGGAACCTATACATGAATGTTGAGGTAGATCTATGGAGTAGTTCTCAAGCAATAGGGATAAAAACTTTTGAAATCAAAATCCAAGATGGCTGCTTGTGAGCAATTTAGGTTTTTTATGATTAATACCAAAATGAAAAAAAAACTAGGGATCCCTTAAAACGTACACATGAAATTTGAGAAAGTTCTATGCTGTAGTACTCAAGAAATAGCAATAACAATATTTCAAAGTTAAGATTCAACATGGCCACGTGTCGGCTAATTTGTTTTTCTGGTCAGTCCAAAAATCAAATGTGCATAACTAGGGAGAAAAGGGAACTTACATATGAATTTTGTAAAAAGATCAATACAGTATTTATCAAGAAATAGCAATAGCAAACTTTCACAGTCAGAATCCAAGATGGCCACCTTTCGGCAATTTTGTTTTTCTGGCCAGTCCGCAAATCACATGGGGAACAACTAGAGACCAAGGGGAGCCTATACATGAAATTTGAGAATGATCTATACAGTAGTTCTCAAAAAATAGCAATAACAAACTTTCAAAGTCAAAGTCAAAGTTCAAGATGGCCGCTTTTCAGCCAGTTGGCTTTTCTGATCAGTCCCAAAATTACATGAGCACATCTAGCAACCAAGGGGAACCTCCAAATGTAATTTAAGAGAATCGATTTGAATAGCCCATCATCATCAGGCTAAAAAGACTCCCGAGACAAAACACCAAGGAAAAGAAGAAAATGAAAGGACATGAGTCATCCGTTACACCAAAGGCCTGTCGGAAACCATCCACAGGATTTACCGAGATCATGGTATACCAACAGCCACGAATCCTCCGAAATGCTCTAGTCCATTCTACGGATACAACACTCAAAAAGGACGCCACATAACACGAAAAATCGAATGCAAGAACTACGACGTATCATATATCGGAGAAACAAGCTGGAGAATCGGGGTCCGACTTCATGAACATCAGAAAGACGCCGGATTTCAAGATGGCAAAAAAGAAAACGAAAAACAAACAAACAACACAAGAACAGATTGAAAACGTTCTCAGTCCAAGATCAATACATAGACAGTTACAACAAAATCATATCATTGACTGGGAAAATTCCAAACAAATCGACAGGGAAAACAACATTTTCAGGCGCCTGACCAAGGAAGGCATCTGGATATGCTGTAGCGGCCAGTACTTCACAAGGGGAGCTGGGGGAAGGGAGGGGTAGAGGGGCACAAACTCTCGCACTTCGTATGACTAAACGTTAAACACAGAACATTGTCACTGTCTTGTTGTTTCCTGACTATAATCTGTTTACCATCTTGTCACACTACTCCTATGTCTTTTTCCTTCTTTGTAGTTTCTAGTTCTTTATCATAAAGGCTAAATCTGACATAATTTTTTGAAGTCCCTGCGTTCCTTCCAACATGCATGTGATTGCACTTCTCTGGATGCATTTTCAGCAGTCAGTCTTCGCTCCATTTACACATTTTATCCAAGTCCTGTTGAAGTATTTTTGTATCTTCATCCTTGGTAATAATTTTTAAAATTTCCGTATCATCTGCAAAGAGATACATGTCAGAATTGACCAAGCTTGGGAGTTCATTTACGAAGGTTACAAAAAGTAGTGGTCCCAAAACCGACCCTTGTGGTATTCCAGAAGTAACTTTCGTCCACTCCGAGTCATGATCCAAACTCAAACTCAATCAATAAAATAGGACAAAAATATTCTCTAAATGTACAACGTAGTATTTGAACAATTTATTCAATTAATTAATTTAAAAATAAACCCTTGATTAATATGTGTGGATGCTGAGCGTCGGCTCCTTTTGAATGATCGAGGTTAGATTTACGACCACCACTCTGTAGAGGATAACGACATATTATTCAGGTTAACAACTTCGAAGTCGCCACCGGCGGGCAGAAACTGGGCCGTCCTTTTTTTACGATAAGCGTATTCTAGGTAATGTGGCATGCTGATGTTTTGATTGTGTCATAGGAAATGCTGCTTGTCTGCACGATGTTCAAAATTTTACGTACATGTAATATTCACCAGCATCGTAAACACGCGTTACTTGCGTTGCATTAAGCGTAGTTACAAGTTAAGGTAGAGTGTTCCACCCTGTTTTGCACTTCATACGGAGAAGAGTTCCATTTATTTGGTTCTGACGATAACAACGTTCTGTGAAGTGATTTATCTGATGGTTATAGTGATATTTTGATTACCAATATTTTCAAAAACCATTTTACTTGGAATTTGGAACTGAGAACTCACAAATATTTGAGTTGGAGAGAATTGTGTTTGTAATGATTGCCTCACTTGTCGAATAAAGTGACAAAAGTGCTTGTTTTTAGAGGTGGCCTTACACAATATACTTTCTGCTTTTGATAATATATGTGGCAGCGTAGCTCCTGGAAGTATATAGTATCAATGTTTAATTCAGTTGAGGAATGTTTTTTCCAACACAGATTTAGATGTCTGTGCTTTTAGAAATGTGATATTTCTAAATTTTGTTGTTATGCTTACAAAAGTTAGTTACTGAAACCTATACAATAATTCAGTGATTCTGTTATTTTTTTCCTGTTAGTCAGAGTTCATTAGCTCTAGTTTGTTATCCCTATTTCTTGAGAAATGTTGGATGTATTATTCTAAAATTTTATATATAGGTTCAGGGATCTGGAAAATATAGGACTAGTGGACTGAAAAAATTTACTCGTCTGGATTGGAAATTTACTCGTCCAAATTCAGCCATGAAATGGCAACTTAATCAGTGAGGATGTGACATGTAACTTTTTTTCTATTTTTATTTTAAGTTTTAGTGAAAAAAACTATGCAGTAACGGCTGCTTTGCATCAGACATTGTGTGTGACTCAGGCCTAGCTGTAGAGTTTGTTTAAATATCATACTGACTAGGTAGGTACATGTTGGTACTGCCCGAGAGCACCTGACATCAGTATGACCGCGGGAAAATGACTAAGGTGTTCCGAATGCTATATTTGACGTCATGGGAGTTCCAGTGTAATCAAAAGATAGAGTGCAGACTGGAATATTTTGTTTTCAAAGTACCGTAAACATGTTTCTTTGTTTTAAATTTCTTTACATTTTTATTGAAATTTAAGTTGTAACATTAACTTCATTGGAAAAAAGTACTCGTCCGACGGACGATTGACAAAAATAAATCTAACAGATACTTACAGACTGTTTATGTTGACAGATACCTACACACTGTTTGATGTTGACAGATACTTACACACTGTTTTATGTTGACAGATACTTACACACTGTTTTGATATTGTCAGATACTTACACACTGTTTATGTTGACAAATACTTACACACTGTTTTATGTTGACAGATACTTACACACTGTTTGATGTTGACAGATACTTACACACTGTTTTATGTTGACAGATACTTACACACTGTTTGATGTTGACAGATACTTACACACTGTTTGATGTTGACAGATACTTTGATGTTGACAGATACTTACACACTGTTTTATGTTAACAGATACTTACACACTGTTTTATGTTGACAGATACTTACACACTGTTTTATGTTGACAGATACTTACACACTGTTTATGTTGACAGATACTTACACACTGTTTGATGTTGACAGATACTTACAGACTGTTTTATATTGACAGATACTTACACACTGTTTATGTTGACAGATACTTACACACTGTTTGATGTTGACAAATACTTACACACTGTTTGATGTTGACAGATACTTACAGACTGTTTTATGTTGACAGATACTTACACACTGTTTGATGTTGACAGATACTTACACACTGTTTTATGTTAACAGATACTTACACACTGTTTTATGTTGACAGACAGATACTTACACACTGTTTTATGTTGACAGATACTTACAGACTGTCTTATGTTGACAGATACTTACAAACTGTTTATGTTGACAGATACTTACACACTGTTTGATGTTGACAAATACTTACACACTGTTTGATGTTGACAGATACTTACAGACTGTTTTATGTTGACAGATACTTACAGACTGTTTTATGTTGACAGATACTTACACACTGTTTTATGTTGACAGATACTTACACACTGTTTGATGTTGACAGATACTTACACACTGTTTATGTTGACAGATACTTACAGACTGTTTTATGTTGACAGATACTTACAGACTGTTTATGTTGACAGATACTTACACACTGTTTGATGTTGACAGATACTTACACACTGTTTTATGTTGACAGATACTTACAGACTGTTTATGTTGACAGATACTTACACACTGTTTTATGTTGACAGATACTTACAGACTGTTTTATGTTGACAGATACTTACACACAGTTTGATGTTGACAGATACTTACACTGTTTGATGTTGACTGACAGATACTTACACACTGTTTTATGTTGACAGATACTTACAGACTGTTTTATGTTGACAGATACTTACAAACTGTTTATGTTGACAGATACTTACACACTGTTTGATGTTGACAAATACTTACACACTGTTTTATATTGACAGATACTTACAGACTGTTTATGTTGACAGATACTTACACACTGTTTTATGTTGACAGATACTTACAGACTGTTTATGTTGACAGATACTTACAGACTGTTTTATATTGACAGATACTTACACACTGTTTATGTTGACAGATACTTACAGACTGTTTTATGTTGACAGATACTTACACACTGTTTTATGTTGACAGATACTTACACACTGTTTATGTTGACAGATACTTACACACTGTTTGATGTTGACAGATACTTACACACTGTTTTATGTTGACAGATACTTACACACTGTTTATGTTGACAGATACTTACACACTGTTTTATGTTGACAGATACTTACACACTGTTTATGTTGACAGATACTTACACACTGTTTGATGTTGACAGATACTTACACACTGTTTTATATTGACAGATACTTACAGACTGTTTATGTTGACAGATACTTACACACTGTTTGATGTTGACAGATACTTACACACTGTTTTATGTTGACAGATACTTACAGACTGTTTGATGTTAACTGATACTTACACACTGTTTTATATTGACAGATACTTACAGACTGTTTATGTTGACAGATACTTACACACTGTTTTATGTTGACAGATACTTACACACTGTTTTATGTTGACAGATACTTACACACTGTTTGATGTTGACAGATACTTACACACTGTTTTATGTTAACAGATACTTACACACTGTTTTATGTTGACAGATACTTAACTGATACTTACACACTGTTTGATGTTGACTTATACTTACTGACTGTTTTAGATTCAATGATACTTACACACTGTTTATGTTGACAGATACTTACACACTGTTTGATGTTGACAGATACTTACACACTGTTTGATGTTGACAGATACTTACACACTGTTTATGTTGACAGATACTTACACACTGTTTATGTTGACAGATACTTACACACTGTTTATGTTGACAGATACTTACACACTGTTTGATGTTGACAGATACTTACACACTGTTTATGTTGACAGATACTTACACACTGTTTATGTTGACAGATACTTACACACTGTTTTATGTTGACAGATACTTAAAGACTGTTTATGTTGACAGATACTTACACACTGTTTTATGTTGACAGATACTTACACACTGTTTGATGTTGACAGATACTTACAGACTGTTTTATGTTGACAGATACTTACAGACTGTTTGATGTTGACAGATACTTACAGACTGTTTTATATTGACAGATACTTACACACTGTTTATGTTGACAGATACTTACACACTGTTTTATGTTGACAGACAGATACTTACACACTGTTTTATGTTGACAGATACTTACACACTGTTTGATGTTGACAGACAGATACTTACACACTGTTTTATGTTGACAGATACTTACACACTGTTTATGTTGACAGATACTTACAGACTGTTTTATGTTGACAGATACTTACAGACTGTTTATGTTGACAGATACTTACACACTGTTTGATGTTGACAGATACTTACACACTGTTTTATGTTGACAGATACTTACACACTGTTTTATGTTGACAGATACTTACACACTGTTTTATGTTGACAGATACTTACAGACTGTTTTATGTTGACAGATACTTACAGACTGTTTGATGTTGACAGATACTTACACTGTTTTATGTTGACAGATACGTACAGACTGTTTTATGTTGACAGACAGATACTTACACACTGTTTTATG